AAATAAGCTACGTAATTTACGCTACGCAATTTGCATAGCGTATTTTGAGGTAATTCCAAAATACCTTATTTCAAAATTTGTCGCTGTCTACAAAGAACCAAATTTTGAAATAAAGAGCTATTCAGATAAGCCCCTTAATCCTCGTGAAACAAAGGTTACAGGGACACCAGAATGCCGCACCCGTTATTTTGAAATATATTTCGAAATAACGGGCATGTTTAAAGAAGCAGAATTGCTATTTTGAGATACTTCTGCTATCCCAAAATAGCGCTGATGCCTAGACATAGCCTCAGGGATGAGGTTGCTGCCTTTCTAAACTACATCAGGAGATCTCAGAGATCAGCACTGGTCCATGGACCGGATGTTGAGAAACATTGGAATAGATTACCTCTTGAGGTCTCTAAGGGTACATCTACACAGCAACATTATTTTGGAATAACTAGTGTTATTTTGAAATAACTTAGTCTGCATCTACACAGCAGGCAGTAATTTTGAGATAATGTTGAAATTCTGTCAAGCTGGAGGACTTCTTACTCTGACTCCTGTAACCCTCATTGTGCAAGGAGTAACGGAAGTCGGAAGAAGAGTGCTCTATTTTGAAATAAGTGCTGTGTAGACGCTCCCAAATTAGAAATAAGCTATTTCTCAATAAGCTACGCAATTGACGTAGTTCAATTTGCGTAGTTTATGTTGAGTTAAGCCCTGCTGTGCAGATGCACCTTTACAGCCCTAAATTTCTATGATTCTATGAAACAAAATATATAATAGCAAGTGATGGCCAACGTTTGGATTTATCACTTTTGTCATTTGCAAGATCGTCCCAAACTCATATCTTTAACATTTTTCTTCTACCACACACCACCATGCACAATCTTTCTCTATGTGTATATTTTGTTTAAAGTGTCCTGGCAGCCTACAAAAACCAAGTAAGATAGGCAATGTAATTATATTCTACTTACATAGAAATTAATGGTAAAACTTGTAAATGGCTCACTAGCTTGTAATACTGCTCCAGAGTTATGATTAGCAATGAAAATATTAACATGAGACATGCACATTATTTAAGTAATAATTTCCACCTTTGCAGGTTCTGTCACAATGCACTGAGCCAAATGGCTCGTGTAGTCTGTGGGATAATGCGCATTATAGGAATCAAGTATCAGAGGGGTAGCCGTGTTAGTCTGAATCTGCAAAAGCGGCGAGGAGTCCTGTGGCACCTTATAGACTAACTGAAGTGTTGGAGCCATAAGCTTTCATGGGCAAAGACCCACTTGCATCTGACGAAGTGGGTCTTTGCCCACGAAAGCTTATGCTCCAACACTTCGGTTAGTCTATAAGGTGCCACAGGACTCCTCGTCGCTATTATAGGAATGCGATTTCTAAAGCACACTAACATGTTGCTCATTTATTAGTGTATGCAGACCCTGTTGGTGTGTACTAAATGTACCCTAGTGTGCTTTAATATATTTCACTTTCAAACAGTAATTGTGGGTTACTCTTTATATCACTCTTCTAAAGTCAATGGGACTACTTGTACAGCAGGGTGCTACCCCACAGGAGGAAGGGTAGCAGAGCTTGGCACTATTTATAGAAAGGCCCAAATTGTAAAATGTGGATTGGAGGCTGCAACTGAACTTTCCCCAAGTTTCAGCATGTTGAGAGTTAGAGTTTCAATTAGGGCCATTTATATAGATAGGTGCAAAATGGAAAAGACAATAGGCTCCCTAAATTTGGGCTGAGCTGGATGCGGGGTATTAACTTGGGCCCCCTCTTTATTTACTAGGGATGTTAGATATGTGTAATTGGATAGTGACATTTTAGTGGTTATACGACTATTTGATAGCCCCTGGGGGGTGAGGTCGGCAGCTATCACGCTCCCAGTCCATTCCTGGGGAGCCCCCTGTCACACTGTACTGCTGCTGTGGAGCTTCTGCCACCCCACACTGCTGCCTCTGTATCATAGGTGGTAGATGGGAGTCAGTCTGCACAGGAAGCAGGTTTTTAAACTGGCTCCCCTCGCAGACTGGCTCCCACCTGCCATCCCGTGCTGCTGCCTTTCTATCAGGCAGCAGAATGGGGGTGAAGGGGCAGGCAGATCCAGTGCTCATGGGGAGCTAGTTTTTAAGCCAGCTCCTCATAGGCACTGGCTTCCACTCCCCCTCACACTGCTGCCTCTGATAGAGAGGCAGCAGTGTGGGAGGGAAGGGGACAGTGCCTGTAGTCAACAAGATTAACCAATAAACCCAGGCTTATTGGTTTATCATGTAGTGGTTTACACGCTGACATCCCCTATTATTTGCAGTGCAAAAACGTTGATTTTTGGCAGTTTATTTTTAGGCATTAATTGAATTATTGATTTTTAAAAATAATTGAATATTAATTTTTATAGCTAAGTCTAATTCATACAGATTTAATTTATGTCATTTAATGTGACTTTGGGGACTGTAAGGCTGAATTAAAACATATTTTTATAAATTGTGATATTGTCCCCCATTCAAGGAGAAAAGTCCATATTCATAAATCCACAAATACAGCACATTTAAATTTCTTCAAGATATTATCATTAAGGGAATTTTTAAAGAAATAGGTGTATGTCTAGATTCTACATTGTCAACAAACACATACCAATAGAGAAGCACTCAACTCTCCATAGTGAAAAATGTGCCTGACCTTCAAGTATAACTATAATTTTGCAATCCAATGCCACAAATCTTCAAACATGCTAATCAGCTTACAAATGTGTATGCTGTGAAAAAGTTTGAAGATGAAATTTCTGGTTAGATTTTATGTAAATTAGCCATTTTGTTTTTAAGACACAGGCCAATATTTTGTTTTTTGGAGGGTTTACAATTTATCTAATGATTTTTATTATGAAATTTTTCCAATACAAGGAAGGTTTGAAGTTTCATGTTTAGTTCACATTTTGCACACAAGTGCCTTTTGGCCCTTTGAATACAGCATTACAGGTCATTTACAAATTATGATGTTCTGCAGTGAAATCTTCAGAATGTTCTGTGCGCTTCTAGCAGATACAGTATCTCAGGCCCACAATGGATTATTATGGTCTGAAGAATTTAGAAACCTTGTCACATCCCTTCTCTACTGTGCAGAATCCATGGACAATTTAATTATTCAGCATCTCTAGCTCAGATCCTGTGCACTTTATATATTATACCTTTCTCAAATGATGCACATGATTACCTGTGAAATTCACAACAGAGTATGCTAAAGGTTTTCTAGAGCCTATCGATGTATAATGATTTTAAATCTGTGCATCTTTTAAGATCATTTCCATTTATCTAAACTTCCTCTGTGACTGGGACCCCCTCCCAAAGAGATTTGTAGCAATACCAGCATTTGTGGTAATCTCAGATTTTTTATTCCCATGGCTTCTCTCTTTTTCCTACATGGAATAAACTTTCTTTTATTTTGAGTTGTTGGATGTTTTGGATGTTGCTGTTGGGAGGCATCCTGAGGTGAAATAAGAAATACTTTGATCTCTGAGGAGAAATCAAAGGAAGGTCTGAGCCCAAACCCACTTTGGATTCTTAGCCTAAGGGATGCCCTGGGCATTCTCTGCCAGAAGGTGTTGGAATCTGTGCTTGCAAAATAAGTAAAAACAAAATTATCTCCTTGTTTTTCAGCAAATGCTTGACATCAGCCTGCGTGTATAACTAACTTCTGGACAATCTAGTTACAAATTTACCTGTATGTCAAACTTTACTCCTGAATATCACAATATTGATATGGCTATAGACTTCTTCAGCAAAGCAGAGATGAATTACAACATGGACTATATCACATTACTCTTTGAAAGGCAACAGACAGACTGCTAAGCATCGACGCCAACTCAGGAACCGGGGTGAATTCTCATTGGAATGAGCTGGGATAATACGGCATTATATAAAATCAACTCCTCTTGATGAAAACTGACCCAACCACACTGCCTGGGTAGCTCCATCAAGCGTTGCTGGAACCAGTTCAACACATTCTCAGTCACATCTAGCTAGTCACCTAGGCAGTGCCAAAGAATCCAGCCATTTACAAAATAAAAAAACCTCACTGAGAGTTCTGATAGAACAACAAGGACAGGCTTCTTTTTCCACAGTGGTATGCAGAGCATGCGTAACTTTCAAGGGCAATCTCGGTACCATGTCTGTGTCTGACTCCTGCATAAAACTGGTCAAACAATTCACTACTGTCCAGAAAGCCCACCACTTTCTTTAGGAACTTGTCAAAAGCCATCAGGAAATACAGCATGTCCATTACTTCTTACGTTGCACATGATCACAGCATGAGGTAACGTGGCTTCAGGCATTATAATCACTCTCCTTCTAATAGCAGCTTTTTAGAATTTCCAGACTGCTGAGAGCCTAAGAATGGTGTTACTATTCAGGTGAAATGAATATTTGTGTGTCTATTTCTCTATGTACTGTACATATGTGACAGATCACAACAGGTCTGAGAACCTCCCTTTACCATCTCGGTCATCTGTTTTCGTCTGTGAATTATAGGTAGTGTAGAAGATAATTTAGCAAAAGAAATGCAAATTAATGCAGGCAAAAATGAATCATACAAAGCAAATCAATAAAAGCAGTTCTTCACAAAATAAGCTAGCAGTATTTACAAAAACAATCTCTTTGGAAGTCAACATTATTGGATTTATCAAGTACTACATAGCTTAGATTCCAATATACAATTTTAATTATAACCGCATTTTAACATATTTTCCATCTAGGTTTATATATTGTGTAGTTTTCTGTTTTATTTACATAATTTACCATTTGTACATTATTTCTCGCTGTGTATGGTGCTTTATGAGGATACATTAAAGCAGGTAGTAAAAGTTCAATTAACCATCAAAACTGTAGCCAAGTGCATATTTTAATGTTCTTCAGAGAGAGCATTACTGAAGTATTATAAAAGCCAGACTAGGACTTTCATAACTGCATGTAATAAAACAACTTAAATCATCATTCTAAACGCAGAGCCATATTTACCTAAGGATGGTGCACTTTGCTTCATCCACTGCTCCATCTGCCCAGCCTAGGATCCTGACATTTGGTAAGAAAAAAGGAGAGGATGCTATGCCTTCGCATAGACTATTGCGCCCTAAACCAAATAATGATCTGTACTTGGTATTCCTAGCTGTTTTATATTGGCATTACTAAATTGTGTTTGTTATGTCAGGATTTTTACCAAACTGGGCCTCTGAGGTACTTATAACTAGGGATGTCAAAATGTGTGCATTTGCGTAAATGTGTAATTGCTGAATTTTTCAGTTACACGCTTAAACGTGGTGAGGGGGAGAAGCGGGAGCCAGTGCTCATGGGGAGCTGGCTTTTAAGCCATCTTCCCACAAGCACCAGCTTCTGTTCTCTGCCCCCACTGTCTCTATATCAGAGGCAGTAGTGTGGAGGACAGGCAGCTAAAAACTGGCTCCCTATAAGCACTGGCTCTTGCCTGCCCCTGCCCCTGCGCTGCTGCCTCTATGGAGGGGGGGAGGGGGGAGAGGGCAGGTAACTCTGCAGAAGCTGGTACACGCAGGAATACAGCTTAAAAGCCCACTCCCCATACACAACAGCTCCCGCCTCCTTCTCTCCTGTTGCCTCTAATACAGCTGACTCCCACCCTGTGTGTAACCATGTAATGGCTGAAATTTTCAGCCGTTACATGGTTACTTAATTACACACATTTTAATATCCCTAGCTAAAACCTAGTTTTTCTACTTTGTTCTGGTCTAGATCTGGTTGAAATATTTTGGCTGACATCATTTTGCATTGAAAAAGGCAGATTTAGGTTGACCAAAAACTTCAAGAATTTGTGTTGATTTCATGGAATTGTTTTGGCCAAAAGAAAACCTTAAATATTCATAAAGTTTCATTTTATGTTTCCAAAATCAAATGTTTTAATTATTTTGCTTCAAGATAACTTTTTGTTTAAAACAATCCTTTGTTTTTTAAATAGTTACTCAAAATTGTTTAAAAATGATAAAAAAAATCATGCAACCTTAGATCAATTTTTTTTACCATTCAAGTCATCAACATTTTCATTTCCGTTTGACCTAAAACAGTTCCTCCCCATTTCCAATATTTTTGAGTTGCTAGAGAACTGAAAAAATTGTAATTTGACCAGCTGTATTCCTTTAGTCCCAGTCCAGTGCATTAACCACAGACCATGTTTGTTACATGTATATAGAATGTTTTTATAGTTGACAATGTAACCCTCTCCTATCTTGTACATGTCACTTTTCCTCTTGCAATGTGCAAAGAACTGCTTATTAACAGAAAACGGTGTATTCTCTGCAATAAAATACTCTTAATGTCCCACCCTTGTGTCGGAGAGGTGATGTTTGATTGTGGGCCTGAGAGGAAAGATAATATATATGGAGATATACCGATCTCACAGCTGGAAGGGACCTCAAGAGGTCATACAATCTAGTCCCCTGCCCTCACAGCAGGACCAAGTACTATACCTTACAGATTTGTCCCAGACTGCTAAATGGCTCCCTCAAGGATTGAACTCACAACCCTGGGTTTATCAGGCCAATGCTCAAAATGCTGAGCTATTGCTCCTCCAGTAAAGAACCAAAAGTGGCAGCTCTGAGTCTTCCCCTTTCCATGCATCACACACAAGGGAAGGCAGAGAAGAAGTGATTTCTCTGCATCTCCCTGTTGCTGTTGTCTGGTCTGTAGAGCTGATGGAAGAATTGATTGGGTGTCCTGTATCCCTCTTCTTCGATGTGAAGCCCTCAGAGCATGCACCAGCCACCTTGCTGCAGCTGCTTCTCGGCCCTTTAAATGCTCAGCAAGGGGTCAATTTTGACAATGTCCATGTTTTGTTTGGGGTATTCATTTTGGTCTTCTTTGTAGCAATCTGGAGACTGATTTTACATTAATAAGGAGTAAGGGCATGACTTGAAAGTGGTATTTGAAATTGTAATTTCATTACAATTTGCAGGTGAGAGGCTTGAAAAGACCAATTCTCAGAGATAAACACGAGGCCTGAAACAAACCTGATAGAGCCTATTAGCCTGGAGAATGCAGGGGAGACATTAGGGCTGTGTCTACACTGGCGCGATCTTGCACCAAAGAGGCTGCTCTTGCGCAAAAACTTGCTGCCTGTCTATACTGGCCGTGTGTTCTTGCGCAAGTAAACTGACGTTCTACTGTATGAAATCAGGGCTTCTTGCGCCAGAACTATGATGCTCCCGCTCAGGAATAAGCCCTTTTGCGCAATTGTTCTTGCGCAAGAGGCCAGTGTAGACAGGCAACATGAATTTCTTGCGCAAGAAAGCCCTATAGTTAAAATGGCCATCAGAGCTTTCTTGCACAAGAGAGTGTCTACACTCTGCATGGATGCTCTTGTGCAAAAGCACATGCCAGTGTAGACGCTCTCTTGCACAACTACTTTAACGCAAGAACTCTTGTGCTAAAGAGTTTTTGCACAAGATCATGCCAGTGTAGACGTAGCCTAAGTCTTCAGACTGAGGCAATCTTCATGAGAATGCTCATTTCCCCTCACTGGGAGAGGATGAGTGGATTCAGAGGTGCTAGGGGTTAGGCTGGAGAAGGCCAAACCTTAATATTGATTGTTTGGCATGGAAGTCATTTAATTCTGCACCAGAACCAGGTAAATGCAATACCCTGGGGCTTTTTTATTGTTGTTGGGTTTTTGTGGGTGGGGGTGGGGGGGAGGAGTTAGGGAAGGAATCCCTGGAATTAAAGTTAAAAAGCTAATAGAGCTGCTATGAGTCTGCCATGCCAGGGTACTCGTCCTCTTTTGATTCCTTATCCCACTCCAGCCAAAACTCTCTCAGATGCCTTTCCTAGGTAAGAAAATGCTGTTGAAATGTCCATCAGAGTCTCATAGAAGCTCTTCTGATACAGAGTGAAAATACAAGCAAGAAAACTTCTCCATGTTGCTCGGCAGACTGTGAAGGCAGGCTCTTCAAACTTCCTGTAATGGGCAGGGTGGACAGTAAAGCTTTCCCACAGTGCACCACAAGTGAAGGGCTAAAGTGGCCACGTGTTGGCAGTGTGAGATATCTTTAGTGTGACTCGAGTCTGTGTGCTGAGGGTGGACACCAAAGCCCCCAATTCTTTGAACCTACATTAGAAAATTCTCAGCACAGGGTTAAGAATTAATATGGACACTCAAGCCTCAGGTTCTCTAACACAGATCAGCTGATTCGAGTCCTATTAACCTCTGGCTTACACTGCAGTATAGACAAATCTGTGATGTTATTACACAGCCTCTAAAATGTATACCGTTGCGTACATTTCAAATGGCTAACAAATCCTGTACATCTGAGTGAAGTATACAGTGTGGAAAACAGTAACTCATATATCCCTCAGAAGTCACTTTCTATGCCTGACATGTCAGAGTCATAGATCCTCAGGCCAGAAGGGACCACTGTGATCAACTAGTCTAACCTCCTGAATAACCAGGCCCACTGACGGTGGCAGTGCGGGGAGGCAAATGGGGCAATTGCCCCAAGGCCCAGTGATTCTAAAGGGCCTGGGTGCCTGATCACCACTGCTGCTACTGCGGCAGTGGTGGTAGCAGCTGGAGCCCTGGCCCCCTTTGAATCGCTGCCAGAGCACCACTCCATGTGGCTCTGAAGGCTGGGTATGTGTGGGTGTGCATCATGCTTTGGGTGGCATTGAGGGCTGGCTACCCCACATCTACCCTTTCTGGCTGAGGCCACACCCCTTCTGAGGCAGATCTGGCCCTCCCCATCCCTTGCCCCATGGTGCTATCGGTCCTGCTGTGAACAACACAGGCCACAGAACTTCCCCACATAATTTTCATAGCACGTCTTGAAGCATATTCACAACATGCAGAGAAAGCAGATTTTTGCTTGCATTTTAATTTAGGCAAATCCAGTTTCATAATAGGTACTCTGCTCAGCAAGATACTTTTCATTCACCTAATTGTGATCCGATGTATCATTAGATATAACTGTTTTCAATGATCTGAGGAAAACAAGTTGGGGAAAAAAGTGAAGAGTTCTTGAATGGTTGAAGCAAATCAGAGAGGTTGTTTTAAATCAAATTTGTGGGATTTTCTCTCTCTATAGTATGATCGCTGATTAAAGCGGACAATATAATCTACAGCTGGATTACTGTAATTAGAGTTTTGTTCTTTAATAGCTGGAATTTTCTTTGGGCATAATTTTTGGGGGAAAGCCATCATTAGGGGCATTAGATAGAGTAGGTTTAAAATTATGTGTTGCATTTCTTCAAAACCCATGATACGGTATCAGAGGAATTTGAAAAATTCTGTTTGCTAATTTGATCTTTCTGATGTGTGAGTCAATTTTGCTAATTTTGGATATTTGCAATCAGTCTAATCCACCCCATTTCAGTGACCTCCATACGTACCATTTTGGGATTGAAGGTCAAGGATTTCTGATGATACCTAGACAAAGGGCTCAGAGGATAATTGTGGAAATGCTTTACTTATAAATAGTAGCTGCCTATTGTACTATTTTTAAGGGGAAAATTAAGATATATTTATTTTCTGTTGTTTATCTATTTCTGCTTTTTAGATTGCTTTTATTTTTTATTTTTATGGGCTGCAAATTGCTTAGGGACATGCTGCATGGAAGGCACTACACGGGAACAGCTTTTATTGTATTGCTCTCTCTGAAAAGGTTAAGCAGTTTTATTGCAGATGTCTGCCAGAAAAAGTCACATGTATCACTAATGGAGAAAGCAAGTGATAAAAGCCTCTGAGTTGATGGAGATAGTGAAAAAACAGTCTTAGCGCCTGTGACAGCATTCTGAAAAAAAAAAACCCTCACTCCGTCTCTTATCAGCAGGTTGAGGAAGCATCAGACCGAGGTACAACAGTTGTATTGTAACTGTTTCTTGATTGCATTTTGTCTTCTAATTCATACTGATGAGCTTTTTCCTAGGGAAAAGCAGTCCTGGGAGACTACTGTAATTTACACAGAATCTCACCCCTTTTATTCAGAAAGACAAATATTCAAAGATCAGGTCATTGCAAGGTAACAGGTCTATTTGAACCAATGGGAATTTAAACTTTATTTTGATATGTAACATGATAAAGTACCTTGAAAAATGAACAAGCCATTTAAAATCCTTTAAATGAGTGATGACTGCATGGTGGAGCCATTTTTTATAAGGAGCAATGGGGAATTTGAATAAACAGAGTTAAATCCTTTTTGGTTTTTGGCTTTACAATATCCAAACCAGCACAATTCCCAATCTTTCCTCTCTCTGACTATAAATAGCAAGTGACCTTTTTAAAAAAAACAATGAAACAACACAACCTCTGGATACAAATATATTTCAGGTTCAAGAAGCAAATCAAATGACCTCTTACCAAACTTGATGGTGTAGGGATCTAGTTCAGTGTTTGGAGAAGTAGATGTGTAACTTGCAATAACAATAACAGGAGTTGTACAATATGTTCAATTTACAATTCAGTGAGCTAAAAATGTATCATACCATGATGGCTTTGGCCATGCCTGAGCTATTTTTGGGCATGATTTATTTTTATTTCATAAAACAGTAGCACTTACATTGCTTTTTAAAAAAAGGCATTTGTACTTACATATCATCGACAATGAGCTTTGTTTTTCTGCAGTCTTTGTGTGCACAGGATAAAGATGGCCAAGTCTCTGTTTGGGAGTGTGGCTTGTTGCAGAGAACATTTTCTGAATTTATGGTAACCGTTTTCTACAACAAACAATACAGAACACATTGAGAATTTGACCACTGAGTTGGAAAATGCAACTAATAAACTATGGAAGTTTGTCTGCATATTGGTTTGCTCACTATTTCAACAGGGAGGACACGTAACTAACTTGTCACTGATAGCCACAAATTCACAGATATAGCTACCCGTTATTTGTAAACAGCTTTCTAGTTTCAAGATGATATGAAGAAGAAACAGAATTATTAGTTACTAGTTGAAGGGCCAAAACACAATGAGTATAGTTATTAAATCATAGACCAGTTGTTGTTATTCCACATGTCCAGCCATGTTTCAATGTCTTGACTGGATTTTGTTGTTGTTGCTGTAACGTACACCAATTTGGGCTGCTATTCTTATTTGACAGTAATTGCAACAGAACAAAATTCCTTCTGCTTCAGACAAAAGAAATTCCTCCTGCTTTAGACAATTGAATGATTGTCTCCATAGAAAGCTCCATGATCTAACACCTTGCATTCTCTGTAAGTAATCCACACTATCACGTGGTCTTGGTAGTTAGGCCAGATTGGCAGATTTGCTAAACCAAAGCCAACCTTGACATTTACAGTTCATGAGCTCTCAACTTCTGTATGGGACACCCAGATAAGTTCAGTGGGATATTTTCAGATGAATATTCAGATACATAAAACTTAAGGACTATTAAAATGTTGAACAAATGAAGCAGTGACAGGCTATGCAGAAAACTGCAGTGGAATGCATTAGCTAAACGTCTGGATCATAAAGTAATGACTTTTTACTTCCAGTTCCCAACACATTTATCTTGGAAGGAATTTAAATTATTTTCCAGATATCAAATAATTACAACACCAAATGAGTCCATAACCAATGGTGTTTAAAAATGTACATTTACAAAGAGAAATTGGTCAGTCCAATACATTAAAAATGCCTTTTCAAGGCCCTTTATAGAGGCTGTTTTTCAAATAATTAATTTTCTTTCTTTCTGTTTATTAAGTGTATTTGTGAGAGACTCTAGAAACACTTAACTAATTTAGAACAACATATTTAAACAAAACATCTCAAAGTTAGATCAGAAATAATTACTTCCCCCCATCTCTTCCCCCTCTTCACCCCTTTCTGGAACAGGCCAGTTGCCCTGAGCAGAAGTGACTTGAGGAGGCTCAGGCTAAAATTCAGTTTCCTGCTGCCAGATATAGGCTCTTGATCAACAACATAAACTTACATTGAAGTCTGAAGGATGTGGCTGTGGTTGGATTTCACTCTTATGTTTTTTGCTGGAGGACATGGAAGGTAATAGACTGCTGCCATTAGGTCTACAGGAAGAAGTTAAATCATCGTTGGAGTATTTGTGTTTTGATGCATCAGAGAGGGGTGAGATGGGCGACTGAAGCATTTTCTCATTTTTATTTATTGGTATTGCCAAGCTAGAAATGGAAATTACAGTAATAGAGTGTCAGAAAGCTGGCTTTGAGAAAGGCAAATGTTTTATATATTATCAAAACTTTGAATTTTAAAACCTTAAACCTGCTGGCAAGATGAAGTCTATTGATGTCTGGAAACAACTTTACAGTATCAGGACCTAGAGTTCATTTACAAATTTGGATCATGTTTCTT